AATCAAGAAAAGTAGTAGTGAGCATTGTATGGAATAAATAATTAATACCTGCATGGAGCTATGTAATATAAGCTTGTAATAGGGTTTAGGGTTAAACCCTTTTTTTGTAGAAGGACTTGAGTTAAAACTAGCCTCAAAGCTTCTGCAAATATGCCTGTTACTTGATAAAGTGTCCCTATAACATTAAAATGGATTTCCCCATATGAAGAAATCACAACTCCAACACTGACCAGCAACATGTTCAGTAAAACATCCCACCTCAGCTTGTCAGTGCCACATAGGACTGCCATGATAAGTGTTGCTACTGGCACTGTGTTTGTCCATTCCAAAATACATTCACTCAGCTATATTATTTATAAACAAAGTTTAATGAAAAGAAATATAGATAACGGTTTTGCGTACTTAATGCTTTCAGCATTTGAATGAAGGCCACAGATATATGCAAGTATGCAGTGTTGCCAAACCTGCAATGTAAATATATAGTAACTTCACACTCACATAAAAGATGGAGGAAAATAAAAGTCTACATGATATAAATGATTCTTACCACAGACTTGATGCGAAGAAAGCACTGATGGGAACTACACATGTTGCATATCTGTCAATGCCCATGAGAAAAGAATTCTTAATGGAGGCTTAAAGTTTGTTAGAAACTAAACAAATTGAATTATGAAGTAGATATCTTACATTTCAAATGTCATTTTAACCGGAGTAACAACCTGCAGTATAATTGAAAGAAGATAAGTGAAAAGAGCACTTGTTAAGTTTATTCATGAAGATAGGCATTGATTTTGAGGCATGCTTTGAATGGGATTCTTTAATGATTATATAAATGAATTGTACCTTAAAAACACGAACAAGAAAGAATGCTACTGCTCCAGAAAAGCCCATATGGATCATAGTGAGAGTGATAGGAAAGGGAAAATTGAAGTATTTTGGAGAGAGAACCCACTGCAAATAGATATATAGATGATAAGTAAGGGAAAATTAGATGTTGAGGCATCAGGTGAAAACAATGTTGAATTACCTTGTTGTACAGAATAACTCCAGATGACAGCAAAATGTAGATTAATAGGTAAAGGTAAGTCAAGAAAAGTGACTTGTTCATCATCATTGTAGCTGCTTACTTCACGAGATTTCGCTCTTTATGTTTTAGTTCCCAGATTCAGAACATACAATGAGTTCTCTCCCACTCATCAAAAACAAGGGTGAAACCTCACCTTCTGCACCATAAGTAGTACCCTACAAAGTGATAAGATTTGAATGGTGAATTGCTACTTTTATAGGTGAAAGAAAGCCACATTCAGCAACTAAAATCTCGATCTGAAAGCATTTCATATTAAACTCACTGGACTGCTTGAATCTTTGGCTAGATGAAGTAAATTTTGATGAAATTACAGCTAGCTAATTGTCTTAAAAGATCACTTGTTGGCTTTCTCTATTGGATATGAACACTAGACAAGTTTCAGGGTTTATATCCAGACACGATTTTCCATCGGAAGTTGTTAAATCTGTCAATGCCGGAATAACCTACCCTAATAGAATAGCGATGCGATTCCGAGGAAGTAGGAACTACGCTCTCGATCTCTGGGGTTATCAGTAGGAGGCAGTAATTAATTCTAGCATTAAGCAGATAGCGAAGTTCATAGATAAATATGAAACAAACAATTGTTTTAAATGATTAAATCCACAGTAAAGCAATGTAAATGCTAATGAAAACCAGAAACTGTTTGAAAGGAAAAGTGCTGATCTACATCGAGAAATGGATACATGTATATATTACGGTAGAACAGTGATTTACCTTTGAAGATCAATTAATTGAGAAGCTTTTCAGCAAGGAATATGTAGCTGGCCCCTAGAAGCAGCAACACCAATTTGCGTGTGTGCAGTGTGCACTGTTCAATGGCGGATTTAGCTTTACGGGGGTGGGGCAACGGCTTTCCATGGAGTCGTCGGTCGGATGGATTAATACTGGTTTCTGTATCCAATATCAAGTGTTAAAAGCCCAGTCTGAATTTGACTTAAGCTACCAAAGCCCAACCTCTTATTATTTTTTAATCATAACAATAAACAGAACATATAAAATATTAACTGAACTGTATAAAGTATAAAAAATAACAGTTTTTTAATTTAAGAAGAGAAGTGATTCATATATAATAATTTTTTTACATACACAACAATTTGTAGAGTAAAAATATTGTATTATACAACTCTATAAAACATAAATGATTGTTTATGGAAAAAACTTATTACTTCCCATTTAAAAATAGTGAAAATAACTAATACTTTGTATTTTACAAAAACAACCAATATATCCAAAATCCGTATTTTGGATATAAGTGGTCCTCTATTTAAAGGAAATCTGAAATGTGGTACCACTACATTTCACATTTCAGATTCTCTTGAATCAATGAGAAATGGAATCTCAGTGGTGAAGATGAGACTTGGATAATCGGGTATGTTGTTTCTAGATTACTCTTAAAGAAGCAACATAGACTTTCTAGAAACAACATAGACTATCAACAATACTTTAGTTCATAAATGGATGACAAAGTTTGTGATTTAGAAGAGTTCTCATTTGACCATTTGACAATACATGTTTGACAAACTTATCAAGAAATACTTCCACTGATCATTTTGCCCTTAGATGTGATGCTATAAACATGGAGGATTTGGCAAGAGTCGATATACAATCTGATAAATCGATCATCAAACTCAAGTTCTTTACATGAAGAGTCTCCTAGTTCTCCCTTAAAACAACCCCAGCTTTATAATTCAACTCAAATCGGTTCAACTCATCTATATAGAAGTGACTCATTGAGAACCTTCCTTGGCATCGATTCATCTAGATGGAAATTAATTAAGATTTACCCAAATCAGAAGGGGTGCTAAATGCAAATACTAATGTTTTTCTTGAGTTGTTTATGTTTAGAAGTTCTAGTAAAAAGAATCTTCTATAATCTATACTCTTCCAAACCTGTAAGCTGTTTCATAATATGTTTTTGTTTAAAAGTTGTGGACTAAAATTGTATTTTCTAAATTTTCCCATTTCTTCTTGTTAATAAAAGAAACAAGATACCTCTATAATCTCAAAGAAAAGCAGCACATTTCTAGCATGAAAAACATCTCAATATAATCTTAACCCGAGACAATTGCATTACAAACAACCCTTGAAAGTTTCAAAGAAATCTTACACATTTGTAAAGATTAAGAAATTTAACATCAAACAAAAGAATGATTCTACAAATCATACATAAATATATGCTACGTTTAGGTGGCCTGTTTTTCAAAAACAATAAACATATACTCCATATATTCCACATAAATAGAGAGATGAATTCACAAGTGTGGTGCTTCTGCTTGAGGTCCATGTCGAGCATTCAACAATGGTTGCAATGCTTTAACAACAATGCTCATATTTGGCCTAAAATCAGCTTCATATTGCACACACAAGGCTGCAACTGCCGCCATCTGTCATTACCAAATTATCACACAAACATTACTTAATCGGTTAAGAACTTAACCTCGACAGCTATACAGGGATGTAAGGGTAAAATGGTCGTTCAGACGGTTGATTCAGTCCATAAAAGAAACATTACACACCTTGGCAACTGCCTTTGGGGGGTATTCTCCATTCAGTCTGGTGTCAACACACTGTTTCACCTTATCTTCACTGAGTTTTGGTGTTGCCTGATCACATTATTTTCACATTCAAAAACACATTTAGATTTTTTGAAAAAAAAAAAAAAAAAAAACATAATTATGGAACGTACCCAAGTGACGAGACTCTGTTGACCACGTGGCAAGGTATGGTCAACGGGTTTTCGGCCGGTCAAGAGTTCCAAAAGAACAACTCCGAAGCTGTAGACATCACTCTTAGAGCTGAGCTGTCCAGTCATGGCATACTCAGGTGCATGATAGCCAAAGGTTCCAAGAACACGCGTGGAATGAAGTCTTGCTGCCATGTCAGGAGCTTGGTTTGACAAGTCAAAATCTGCAATCTTTGCAACATCTTCATCAAAAAGAAGCACATTACTTGACTTTATATCCCGATGAATAATATGAGGCTGTGCTTTTTCATGCAAGTATTCAAGCCCTTTTGCAGCCCCAACTGCAATCTTAACTCTCTGAGACCATGATAAAACCGGACCTGGTTGTGCACCTTTTACACCTTTCCTTCCTACACCCACAAACATCACCATAACTCATTCTGCCCATATTAAGTGCGTTAAGTCAAAAAATATTAACACTTGCCATGAAGAATATCATGAAGAGATCCGTTTGAAGCATACTCATAAGCAAGTACTCTCAAACCACCATCTACACAGTATCCAAGTAGCTCAACAACATGATCATGTTTAAGCCTTGATACCATAGAAACCTGTAATCGGTATTAGAATTTAGAATACTCAACTTTAACTAACTTTTTTACTATATATAGAAGATATTAGCAAGTGTAAATCAAACCTGAGCTAAAAACTCCTGATCTGGTTGCTTACTAGAGTCTAACTTTTTAATAGCTGCAGCTTGTCCGCTTCTTAAAACGCCATGGTAGACTCTTCCATATGATCCCTCACCAATTAATGACTTTGTACCAAAATTATCAGTAATCTCCTTCAATTCGTCCACCTGGACAGTAGGAACAGCGATGGGCTGAATGGCTACAGCTTGTGTGTCCTTTGGTGCGGCTTCAGTCGTGCGATAGCCTCCATTGTTTCCTTAAGCAATATAAACTCTCGCCATTAACTTGTGATCCGATACAAAGATGTGAAGAAGGTAGAGTAGAAAGTTACCTGCTGCGTTATTTGCCATGTAAGGTCCATTGTCGTAAGACTTGTGCATGTCATCTTCTCCGCAACAGCTGAAGCAACTCATGATTACTTTCCACTAGCAACAAAGCTGGGTTACAATCAAAGAGATACCAAATTAGGGTAAACTACAAATCGAGCGTAGCTAGCTTCTATAAGATTAAGAATCAGATATATGTCTCGCTTTTACTTTTTTTTTAGGTCGAATACAGTTTACAAAGAAGCGCGTACAATGAATAGTAGAAAAGATAATTGCTCTTGTTGGGTTGTTCCCATTTTAGAAGACCCAAAATTCAACAAAACCATGTGGTCTTTAATGCAATCAGAAAAGGCCTAAAGACTAGAATTGAATAACCAATTTCAGAGTTCAGATCTACCTTCAACCAGCTATGGATCAATCGAGTAAAATAAGACCATATAGAGAGAAAGATCCAAGATTCAGTTTAGGAAATTGACTAAAAGTTAAGAAAATTGCAGTGCAAACAGTTCAAAGAACATGTAAATTCAAAAGGTTCTGATGAAACTGAAGAACCAGAGAAGATCATCAGGGAAGAATAAGGAAGAACCTACCTAAGATTTTTGCAGTGGTTGACTCAGTGAACGAGATTGCTTAAAAAAAATGAGTTTTTTTTGTAATAAGCAATAGAAAAGAAAGAAAGAAAGATTACAAACACAATTGTGTTAATTACGCTTTGTTGGCTAGTAATATTGAGCGAGCGAGAAGTCGGACGGCTAAGATAAGCCAATTAGGAAAGCGCGTAGGCTAAAATCGGGATGCAAATGGGAAGTTGGAAATCGAGTAGACTATAACTATATATAGAATATAGATATACATAGATATTTTATAAATCATAAAAGATCTTTTCAAAAAATCTAAAATATAATTCGATCACTAATAATCGTTAGAAAAAAATGCTAAAAAGATTCGGTTGTAACTTAATAACTTTTTTAATGTGAGAGAATAATCGATATAAGATAATCAAATATTGTGAATAATGAAAAGATAGTGATTTTACAAAATTTGTAAATGAAATATGAAAGCTTGTAAATAGTTTGGATTTTGAACATTGAACATGCCCTAGATGGGATATTATTAGGTGAAATAATAATCATATTCCAACTTCCAATTAGCCAACCTATCATGGGTACCTAATCTAATGAGGAAGAATATTATGCTCAATAATGTTATACGATATTATTAATTATGAAATAAAATGTGGCTTTACAATTTTGAAGAACATAATTTCACAACATTACAAAATACTAGTTGTAAGTTTAACAAATATAGAAATACTTTATGCCATTCTTTATATGCTTTTATTTAATTTAACTTTTTTTAAATTTTAAACATGTAATCTTTTAAGGAAAAATATATTACTCTCAAGCAATAAGTATTTGCATGTTAAATTGCTAATTACTATTGCATACATATTTAGTTAATATATTGGACTTTGAATTTTTATTTTGATTATCCAAAAAGAATTCAACATTTTTTGTCAGAATCAAAATGATGGACCTGTTCATATGATGGTTTAAATATTTAATTGATATAAGAAAACAAAAGAAATGTAGTAGAATAATCTTTGCTGGCGTTTGTTGGCTTGTTGAATTTTATAATCTAAAAAGTAAAACCTCACTCGTTAACATTGAACAACCCCTACCCTTCCTTTTCTTTTTATAAATAAATATTACTCTGTTATTCAAATTGCAGATCACACGCTTCAATAATTTAACAATTTATTCTTCAGCGACAATTCTCAAATTGCTACAAAAAACAATCAAGAAAAATTGTAACCAAACATCACCTAACAAATAAATATCACAAAATTGTGTAAAGCATGCATCACAAAAGCATTCACAGTCTAACATGTTTTCTTCATGTGATCGCAAATATACTTATACTTTTACCTATATAATAAATTTCAAAAGATATTCCCAATTAACATTCAACTGACACAAACAAACAAACATCAAACTCCTAAACCTCAACCACATGAAAATTTTCAAATCACTTCCTTCCCTTCCCCCTTTTATTACCAAATTTCCCCGTTTTCTTACCTTTTTTGGGATTACTCTTCATAAAAGCTGCTTTAGTTGCTTTTGTTTGCCTATCTTTTCTAACCTGTTCAAGATTTTTAACTTCCGACCTCACATGAGCATTAGGAACCATACGACCTTTAAATCCTCTGTTATTACGCCCCCTTTGCATTCCACCTCCTGCATTTTTTATAAAATTTAAATAAATATTTTTTTTTTTTTTAAAAAGTCAACTGTGTTCATATATGATATATATATACCTTTGAGACTTGTAGATTCCATAGCACTAGTACTACTACTACTACCTTCATTGTTTGATCCTTGAAAAGATATCTTACTGTGTGACTTTTCTTTCCATCTTTTATATATTCCTGTTTTATTTGCCTTCCCTTTTTTACCACTCTCTGTTATTATCTGTATATACCACACAAGTAAATAAAATAGTACAAAACATATTTTCAAAACAAAAAATCAAATAAAGAATAATTTTTTTTTAAATACCTTCCCACTAGCTGACACACGGTCACCATTGTTCAACTTGACATACTTTTTACTCCTCTGTCATCATATATATAAATAGTTTAGATATAAGTAAAAAAGTGGAATTATATATATAAATTAAAAAGTCAAACCTTATCCCAATGGAAGGAGGATTTCTGTTTTTGTAATCCGCTACTATCATCTGCAGCTAAGTCAAGAACAGCAGACTCCAACCTATTTCATCAATCAATACAAGTTTTCAGCTTTATATCATAAAAAATACCATTTTTTTTTATAAAAATGATCAGAGCATTTATTTATTGATATTTACCTGTTGGAAACAAAGCCTCCGTTATTTCTGACTGAGAGACCTGCCTCAAAATGCTGCAAAAAGATATCAAGATTGGATAAAATATCATTCTTGTAATTTTATTAAAGATGAATATATAATGTTACAGAGTAAGGGGAATGAAAAGTTACTTGATTTGTTGGCACTGAGCTTATAAAAAACTCCTCATCCTTAAAGCTTTGTGCTTTCCTTTTACTACCAGAAACTGCCATAAATATCAATTAATTATCAACTCTAGATATGAAAACTTTTACTATGTCTCTGCTCACTGATATAAAGTACATAAAACAAGTATTATAAACAATTCACAAACCTTTTTTTCCCTTCTTTAGTAATGCATTATCTATATCTTCAACTTCCTGCAAACCCATATCACATAAAAGAATAAAGAATTGGAAAAATAATTAAATCAATGATTTGAACTATCTTAATTGCTGAAAATGTTAGAATGAAAAGAAATAAATATGGGATTCACCTTAGCTGCTTGAGTGTTAGAGTGCTGCTGATTTACTTTATTAATGATCTTCTCATGAATAGCTCTTTTCATCTTCATTACATCTACCCACTGGCTAGAAGGTCCCTGAAAATATTAAATATGCAATTAATACAACAAAATGCTTTCAAAACAACGTCATGTCTCCGAAGATCTAGTTATTTAGAGCTCAATGTATGAAAAATAACAGGTATAACAAACTCGTATTAGTATTAAAATTTTATATAACAAGGAATAAATCTGTTGTTATTACCTGCAGATGCTTTGCTTTGGCAGCATGACCTTCAGATTCCAAGACAGTTTGCTTTGCTCTGTAATTAGTTAAGCTATGAGTCAAAAGGTACAAAAAGTCAAAAAGTCAACTATACATCTTTAACAAAACAATTCACCTGTATGCTTTTAGGCTCTCAGAAAATGCTAATGCAGATAACTCATTGCCACCCAATTCTTTAATAAACATGGGATGCAAGCCTTCACGTGGCATATTCTTAGCTCTTTTAATACTCTCTCTAGAAGGCTTCTCTTTAGTTTTCATATACAACCTAAAAGCCCTTTCACAAGGCCTCAACAAACAATCCAATTCAGTAGATGAATCAAGAATCTCACGAACCCTATCTGCAACAAGATCAATAGCTGTTTGTGGAAACCTCCCAAAAACCGTTTCACCATTCAACATCGCCTCATCGATTCTTTCCATAACCCCTTTCATGTCTCTCAAAACCTCTTCTTCAGTAGGTGCAGGTTTGATTGGTTTTGAAAGAAAAAGATGCAAATCAAGGAGATAAGCCATGTCCTCAGATGTCACAAAGGAAAAAGCAGTACCCGTTCGACCCGCCCGTGCAGCTCGACCCACCCGGTGCACGAAAAGCTTCGGTTTTGGAGGGAAATCCCAGTTTATAACATTGTCAAGAAGTGGGATATCAATCCCTCTAGCAGCAACATCTGTCACTATAAGAAACATGGTTTTTCTTGATCGAAATCTTGCCACGTTAATCTTTCTATCATCTTGATCCATATCACCATAACAAACAGAAGGTTCTATACCTTCTTCTCTTAACAAATGATCAAGAAACTGGACATGATGCTTTGTAGACACAAATATTAAAGATTGTTCATCTGATCTTACATGTTCTCTAATCAAATACAACAAAGCAGCTAGCTTTTCTTCTTGTCTTAATGAAAAGAAAGTAAGTTTCAAATCAGGACTGATTTTAGTCTCCAAATCAAGCCTAACAAGTTGCGGGTCCCTCAGCCCTGCTTTTGCAAACTCGGCTAGAGCACTTGGTAAAGTTGCACTGAAGAGTAAAGTCTGTCTATTGTCGCCTAGCTGTTGAAGGATTCTGTGCAACTGTTCAGCAAACCCCATGCTGAAAAGACTATCGGCTTCATCAAACACTACATATTCAACTGATCTTAATGACATGTCATCCACTTCTTCTAAATGATGCATCAGTCTTCCAGGAGTTGCTATTATGATATCAGGGCTTTGTGCTAATTCTTCAAATTGACTTTCCATACTATCACCACCAACTAACAAACTAACACGAAGGTCTGTAAATTTGCCAAGTTCTTGAGTGAACTTAAGTGTTTGAAGAGCAAGGTCGCGTGTGGGTGATAAGATTAGGGCTCTGATACCAGACTGAGAGACATGTTGCTGCAGTCTCTCGAGCATGGGGACTAAAAAAGCTGCTGTTTTACCGGACCCTGTTCTTGCCATGGCAACAACATCGGCTCCAGAGAGAATGAGTGGCATTGTTTTGCGTTGTATTGGTGTGGGAATTCGGTATCCCTTGCGCTTAACGCCTCTGAAGACATTGGAGCTTAGGTTTAAGGATTCGAATCCGCCTGATTTTGCCTTCTTCTCTTTCTTTTCTTTTTTCTTCAGCTCTGTTACAGAGCTTACGAGAAGGGGTTTTCCTCTCCCCATTGAGTGTTGGAACAACTACGATAAATACAAAATCTAAGAAAGAATAAGCAAATTGAAAGAACAGCAACAGATGATATCCAATGAAGAAAATTAAAGCATTAACTTATTTTTAGCAATAAACCCGTTCTGGAATATGCATTCACAGAAATAAAGTCCGAAAAACCACGATACATGCATCAATTCACTTTCATGGTCATGATTTCAATGGAGAAATTCATGGCCTCGGGCTCGAATGTAACAGATTTCGTATATCAACACATTCCAGATGGGAAATTGAAGAAACACACCAGCGATAAGAAGAAAGAGCGACAGAAGAAAAAGAAAAAAATAGAACGAATGCAGGAAGAAACGAACCTGTAGCTGTGGGGTTGAAGGTCGAAGGTCTCCGGCAGTTGTGGGGTGCGGCGCTCCGGCCGGTGGCTTCACAGGAGAGAGGCGATGGAGAGAAGCAGCACAAATGAGGCGTCTTTTGTTACAGGCGCTGTTTGTATCGTGTAAGGAGTATTAGGTTAAAGGGTTATATCGGTCAATTCGTCAGAACGGTGCAATAAGGAGTTTGTTTTTAATTACGTATAGTTTCCAGTTGCAGCAAAGAAAAGAAAATTTTAGAAAATAAAGTACGGAAAGAAATAAGAGAAAAAAAAAAAAAAAAGGAATTTATATGAGTTGGAGAAAAATCAAAACAAAATTAAACATTTTGTTTTTTTCTTTAAATCCTATTAAATCATATGGAAAGTTAGAAGCGTTCTTTCTATCAATTTCTTTTACTTTCTTTTTGTTTCCACCAATTTCTTTTACTACATAAGCTTTTTGTATAAATTTCTTTTATTTTCTTTTTGTTTCCACCAATTTCTTTTACTACATAAGCTTTTTGTATAGTTCGTATAATTTGTTTAAAGATAAGCATTTAACCACATCAAAATATAACATTCCCTACACTTAAGTCCTTGTATGCATCTCATGTATTAAGGATATAACAATAATACATTTTTATCAAGTATCACTCATGATAGCAATCCATGACGTGATTTAGATGTGGGTCATGTTCAATATTAGTTTTTTCACAAATACTTGTGAACCTTGGTTAAAATCTACCAATATCGAAACAACCAGCCCTAGTAGAATAGCGATGTGATTCCTATGAAGTAGGAACTACGCTCTCGATCTCTGGAGTTATCAGTAGGAGGCAGTAGTTAATTCTAGCATAAGCAGATAGCAAAGTTCATAGAAAAATATGGAACAAACAATTGTTTTATATGATTAAATCTACAGTAAAGCAATGTAAGTACTAATGAAACCTAAAACTACTGAAAGTAAAAGTGATTGTCTACATCGAGAAATGGATACATGTATAGATTACGGTAGAACAGTGATTTACCATTGAAGGTCAATTAATTGAGAAGCTTTTCGGCAAGGAATATGTAGTTGGTCCCTATAAGCAACAACACCAATTTATGTGTGCAGATTGTTCAATGGCGAATTTAGCTTTATGAGGGGGGGGGGGGGGGGGGGGGGGGGGGGCTTTCCATGGAGGCGTTTAGGGGAGTATAGGCGGATACCCTCCTCATTTGGCGAGAACCGGAACCGGCGGTTCCTAGAAAGTTAGAAACGGAACCGGCGGTTCCTAGAAAGTTAGAAACGGAACCGCTCTAGGCGGCTCTTAAATTTTTGGAACCAGTTTCGGAACCGGCGGTTCCGGTTCCGCTTCAACGAGCGGATAACCCGGTTACATTAACTTTGTTAATTTTTGTCGATAAAACCGCAACTTAGTTTGATCCAAATTGAATCATTTCGGACCAAAAGAGAGACAGAATCGGACCAATATATTCTAAACCGGTCTAAGTAACACACACACACACACACACACACACACACATATATATATATATATATATATATATATATATATACCGGTTTCGGCGGGTACTCAGTGGGTAGCGGTTCCAAAAAAATGAGAATTGGAACCGGAACCGCTTAAGGCAGTTCCAGTTCTAGAACCGGCAGTTCCGATGCAGTTTCGGTTCCAAAAACAGGTACCTAGTTCCGATGCTCATCCCTTGAGGCGTTGGTCATGGATGGATTAATATTGGTTTTGTATCCAATATCAAGTGTTAAAGCACAGCCTAAACTACTTGAAATAATGTTCCAAAGCCCAACATGTTGTATGGTGAAAATATAAAAATACTAACATAATTATATAAAATATAAAAAATAAATTATAACAAAATTGATTATGACACCATCCCTCTTTAATTTTGGTAAACGATTTTGTACTTTTTTTTTGGTGATATTTACAAAATTACAAAAATGATAGTTTCTTAATTTAGGAATCCTGAAAATAACATTTTACAAAACTTACCTACAAATCCAAAATAAGACATCATGGGTTCTTGATTTGATGGGTGCCTACCCGTGTAAGATGTCCTTTCCTCTGTAAAGGAAATCTGAAATGTAGTACCGTTACATTTCAAACTGAAGTGTAGTACCATTACATTTCAAAATGTCATTTCGGATTCTCTTGAATCCAAGGAAAATGGAATTTGTCTATGAAGAGACTCTGGTATATTGGGTATGTCGATTCTGGCTTATACATCTTGTTTACATTTTTTTATGAGAAAACTCGATTCAAAACAGAAACCCATGTCTAGAATCCAAAGAACTGGTATGGAATGAAAAGTGTTAGGTTTCGTAGAAACCTGAGTGTTTCTCATTAGTTATGCTATGATGGTAATTATTATGTTGGTTATTAAGAATTACTGTGGTGGAAATGTTTGACTGATAAAACAACCATAGTCTGAAATCCGAAATACATGTACGAGACGTGTCTGGAATGAAAACCCTGTTCAAAATATACAGGAGTTGTTTGCATTTGGAAGTTCTTGTAAAAAGAGTCTTCTATACTCTTCCAAACCTGTAAAAGGTGTCATGTTTTTGTTTAAAAGTTGTGGACTAAAATTGTATTTTCTAATTTTTCCCATTTCTTCTTGTTAATAAAAGATCAAGACATCTCTGTAATCTCAAGGAAAAACAGCTCTCATGTGGCTCCACCCTTGCAAATAATCCTCGAAAGTTTCCACGAAATCTTACTCATTTGGAAAGATTAAGAAATTTAAAACCTTGCTGACAAACATCAAATAAAAGAATGATTCTACAAATCATACATAAATATCTGCTACCTTTAGGCGGCATGTCGTTCAAAAACAATAAACATATATAATATTCAGCATAAATAGAAAGATGAATTCACAAGTGTGGTGCTTCTGTTTGAGGTCCCTGTCGAGCATTCAGCAATGGCTGCAATGCTTTAACAACAATGCTCATATTTGGCCTAAAATCAGCTTCATATTGCACACACAAGGCTGCAACTGCCGCCATCTGTCATTACCAAATAAATTATCACACAAACATTACTTAATCGGTTAAGAACTTAACCTCGACAGCTATACAGGGTTGTAAGTGTAAAATGGTCATTCAGACGGTTGATTCGGTCCATAAAAGAAACATTACACACCTTGGCAACTGCCTTTGGGGGGTATTCTCCATTCAGTCTGGTGTCAACACACTGTTTCACCTTATCTTCACTGAGTTTTGGTGTTGCCTGATCACATTATTTTCACATTCAAAAACACATTTAGATTTTTTGAAAAAAAAAAAAAAAAAAAAACATAATTATGGAACGTACCCAAGTGACGAGACTCTGTTGACCACGTGGCAAGGTATGGTCAACGGGTTTTCGGCCGGTCAAGAGTTCCAAAAGAACAACTCCGAAGCTGTAGACATCACTCTTAGAGCTGAGCTGTCCAGTCATGGCATACTCAGGTGCATGATAGCCAAAGGTTCCAAGAACACGCGTGGAATGAAGTCTTGCTGCCATGTCAGGAGCTTGGTTTGACAAGTCAAAATCTGCAATCTTTGCAACATCTTCATCAAAAAGAAGCACATTACTTGACTTTATATCCCGATGAATAATATGAGGCTGTGCTTTTTCATGCAAGTATTCAAGCCCTTTTGCAGCCCCAACTGCAATCTTAACTCTCTGAGACCATGATAAAACCGGACCTGGTTGTGCACCTTTTACACCTTTCCTTCCTACACCCACAAACATCACCATAACTCATTCTGCCCATATTAAGTGCGTTAAGTCAAAAAATATTAACACTTGCCATGAAGAATATCATGAAGAGATCCGTTTGAAGCATACTCATAAGCAAGTACTCTCAAACCACCATCTACACAGTATCCAAGTAGCTCAACAACATGATCATGTTTAAGCCTTGATACCATAGAAACCTGTAATCGGTATTAGAATTTAGAATACTCAACTTTAACTAACTTTTTTACTATATATAGAAGATATTAGCAAGTGTAAATCAAACCTGAGCTAAAAACTCCTGATCTGGTTGCTTACTAGAGTCTAACTTTTTAATAGCTGCAGCTTGTCCGCTTCTTAAAACGCCATGGTAGACTCTTCCATATGATCCCTCACCAATTAATGACTTTGTACCAAAATTATCAGTAATCTCCTTCAATTCGTCCACCTGGACAGTAGGAACAGCGATGGGCTGAATGGCTACAGCTTGTGTGTCCTTTGGTGCGGCTTCAGTCGTGCGATAGCCTCCATTGTTTCCTTAAGCAATATAAACTCTCGCCATTAACTTGTGATCCGATACAAAGATGTGAAGAAGGTAGAGTAGAAAGTTACCTGCTGCGTTATTTGCCATGTAAGGTCCATTGTCGTAAGACTTGTGCATGTCATCTTCTCCGCAACAGCTGAAGCAACTCATTATTACTTTCCTCTAGCGACAAAGCTGGGTTACAATCAAAGAGATACCAAATTAGGGTAAACTTCAAATCGAGCAGCAGCTACCTTCTATAAGATTAAGAATCATGAAACATGTCTCGCTTTTACTTTTTTTTTTTTTTTCTAGGTCGATTACAATCTACAAAGAAGCGCGTAAATGAATAGTAGAGAAGATAATTGCTTTTGTTGGGTTGTTCCCACTTTAGAAGACCCAAAGTTCAACAAAAGCATGTGGTCTTTTATGCAATCAAAAAAGGCCTAAATACTAGAATTGACTAGCCAATTTCAGAATTCAGATCTACCTTCAACCAGCTATGGATCAATCGAGTAAATTAAAACCATATAGAGAGAGAAAGATCGGAGATTCAGTTTAGGAAATTGACTAAAAGTTAAGAAAATTGCAGTGCAAACAGTTCAAAGAACGTATAAATTCAAAAGGGTCTGATGAAATTGAAGAACCAGAGAAGATTATCAGGGGAGAATAAGGAAGAACCCACCTAAGATTTTTGCAGTGGTTGAATCAGTGAACGATATTGCTTAAAAAAATGAGTTTTTTTTGTAATAAACAAGAAAGAAAGAAAGAAAGACTACAAACACAATTGTGTTAATTGCGCTTTGTTGACTGGTAATATTGAGCGAGAAGACTGACGGCTAAGATGCGCCAATTAGGAAAGCGCGTAGGCTAAAATCGGCATGCAAATGGGAAGTTGTGAAATGTCGATTTTCATTATAAGAAATTAGAAAACCATCTCAAGCTTTCTTTGTTTCATTTGGTTGAAGGTGTCAAGAAATAAAGTTGGTTCAAGGTATTACTTTCTTTTCATTTTTATGTTAAAATCCGAATTTCACCTTTAGTTTGAGAGTTGAATCCGATTTTTATTTCACTTGAGGAAGTTGAATCTTATTTTTATTTCACTTGAGGACTAGACTTTTGTGTTTTAAGCAAAGTTAAGTTGATTATGTTGGTTTTTAACTCAAATCCATCATCTCATGTAGATTTGATGTTGGAATTGCTAAATCTCCAGCACGTGGGGCATTTTCGGAAATTCTTATTTTGAGCTATATAGGGAAGGTTGGTGTGCCACTTTTCTAGACTTCTACACATCTGAATTTGGAGTATTTTCTCTGGAGATTTTGAAGGTTTTGAAGGCCAATAACACTTGAAGAACATCATCTTTTCATCTCTAAATCTTGTTGAATGTTTGGTATAATCTTTTCTTACTTTGTTTTCTTGAGTTTTGCCATGCTAGGATGAACTAAACTTGGTTGAATTTGGTGGAATCCTTTTGAATCCTTGTTGAATGTTGAAGATTCCATGAACTTGTTCTTAAATTTTATGACAATGTTTTGTGTTTTAACATTTTATTACTACTTGTATGTTTTTAATCACGAGTTAGAATATGTTTGTGGTGATTAGTTGGCTAATTTCTTGATTAAATAAAGGATCTTCAAATTAGCAAACAACAAGTGATTTTTGTGTTAGTTTTACTTCACATAATCATACAAACATTTTCTCCAACATGGAAGTGAAAGCATTTGACTCATCTTAGATTTAGTGACTTTTTGGTTTTTAATGCTAGTTGACTTTCACTAATTACATGCTCAATGGAAATTATGACTTTGAATAAGGAAATTGTTATGAGCTTCTCTAACCATTTTAACAACTAAGAAAAGTCTAGGTAATCTCAAGCTTCTTGGATTACTATAGCCAAATTGAGGATTTAAAACAAGTATTGTACCATTGGATTCTAATGATATGTTCATCAAAAGTCAATTGAGGAAACCTTAAGTTAACCATCCTTCACTTATTAATCTTACATCAAATTCTTATTTTTATTGAACTTTACATCTAAATCTTAGTTTAATTCTAGTTGTATTACAAGTATTTTAAAAGACCCCCCCCCCCCCCTATTTTTATTTTATTGTTATTTTACAAGTATTTTTACAAAGAGACTTTTCATAAAGTTATAAAATTGAACCAATCTCCACAGATTCAACCTCTTTACCACTATACACTATTTTAAGTGTAAAGGATTTAGGGTTATTAATTTTGTTGACCTCAACAACTACCAGTGGAGAAATGGGTACATAAATTGCTCATCTAAACGTCCTTAGATGGAAATATTTAGTTACTAACTACAAACCAGTCGAATAGGGGATAACTAATGACAATAGGATGGCATGATGTGTATAAGTGATGTTGCATGTAAAATTTCATGCCCCATGTCGATGTAGGAAGTTTAGAATGCATTAGTAATGGTCTTGCAATTAATTGAAGGCGTTTGATTAATGAATCAGTTATACCATTTTGCATATGACAATGTGTAACAGGATGTTCAATCCAATCGACATGCAATAATCATTAATTGCTTGCAATGAAAATTTTGCAGCATTATCAAGTCGCATTTTCTTAATTGAGTAATCGGGGAAATGTGACCTTAGGCTGATTATTTATGCAAGTAATCTTGCAAAAATCAAATTACAACTAGACAACAAGCACACATGTGACCATTTAGTTGATTCGTCAAATAAAACCATAAAATATGTAAATGGTCCACATGGTGGTTGAACTGGTCCACATATATCCCTTTGAATACTTTCCTAAAACTACGACTTTCATACCTAACTTTGTTCATGGATGGGAAGTTAATTTTCCTTGAGATATGTAGCACAAGAGAATTCATTTGCTTGAAAAATTTTCTGCTTTTCAAGGAATGACCATTTGAAGTTTCAATTATTTTACGCATAATAATTGATCTGAGATGGCCCAACCGGTTATGTCAAACTTTGAAGGTGTTATCATACCTTTGATTTTCAATAGCATGAGATTCAATCATTCTAATATTTGTATAATATAATCTAGAGGACAATACATGTAATTTTTCAAAAAGACTTTTCTTACCCGATATCATTTTTGTAATATTGAGATATTATTTATCACCATCATTATTTGTTTCAACATGATATCCGTTGGACCGAATATCCTTAAAACTTAATAAATTTTTTGGTGATTTTGATGAAAATAAGGCATCACCAATTGTAATTATTGTCTCTTGTGGTAATATTATATACGCTCTTCCGGAGCCTTCAATCATTTTTGCATTATCTATTATTGTATTAATATTTGTTTCCACAATTGATAAATAAGCAAAATATATTTCATTATTAAAAATGGTATGTGTCCATCACCATCCATAACACTACTTGTCCCTTCTGGATAGACAAGATAATTCGCAATATCCAAATGTGTAATTTTTAGTTGATCTTCGTGAAAAATATTTTGAATAAATTTGTTTCGATATTTTATTTTTCCTTAGATTTTAGAGAAGCTTGATAAAGCTCAACAAAATACTTTAAAGAGCGGTGACAAATATTTTCAATGTTCTTTTTTCTTTGACCACTTTTATCTAAGATGTGGGTTTTTGTTATTTTCCAATTTCGGGTGGTTACTTGTAATTTTGGTATTGTTGTTACAATAATTATGAGGACCTCTACGACCACGGTTAGTGCCATGACTATTATCGTTATATGATGTTGCATTCACTTCAGGGAATGAATTAGAACCGATCAGGCGTGATTAATGATTTTTCATCAATAGTTCATTGTTTTGTTCAACCACAAGAAGACTTGAGATCAATTCAGATTTTTTTTAAAACCTTTCTCGTGATATTGCTACCACAAAAGCATGTTAGTGGCATGAAAAATAAAAAAAAATTTCTCTATCATGGTTTTCCATATTGAAAATAGAATCATACTGATAACATGTTATAAAATATGATAAAATAACAAGATAAATTATAAAGTAAAGAAAAATAGAAGAGTTGAGAAAAATTTTATTCCAATACTTGTGATGAAATCATCAACTTTCTAATATATATAACTCACTATTTATACAACCAAAATAAGGTGAAAGATTAATGCACATTATGATTGTGCATTATTACACTCATAAAACACATTGTAATGGTTGTTATTAATGCTAAATAATAATAGAGAGTTATGGAAGAAATAGAGAATTCGATGGTCATTCACAAACTAATACTTCATAAAAACAAGAAAATATTTGAAAGAATGTTATTTTGGTTATCAAACGATATGGAGCCATGCAAACTTGAAACATGAATCGATATATCATAACTTATATCTTCTTTGCCGTATGTTTAATTTAAAGTTAATGAGGGATCATTTAAAAAAGTCATCAAACTATTCAAATACACATAAAATATGATTATCCGATTCAAAATATTGATTTAACTACTCTCATTCACAACCAAAACCAACCAAACTATCTATTAAAAACTAATTTCTCTCTCTTCCACCTATACAACCCAACCAAACCCAAATTTTCACACTCGTTAACAAACGAACCCAAACCAAACTATTATATTAATTATGATTATTTTTTATTATATTATACCAGCTACATATTATGTTTTATTAAATTTATAACCTAATTTTATTATTAAATTTAAGATTATATAGACAATATACAAAAATTATTAAAAAATCTTAAATATATCAATATTGATCTGTATTTATGTATTTATAGACAAAACTATTTTAAATATTTTAGTGTATTTTTTTTATTTTTATAATAAAAACTAGATAAGAAGCATCCGCTTCGTGGGGGTTGGATTCGACACTTATGTTAAAGAAAACCGATAGAAGACATTACGTTAAAGATGGTGTCATCGTTTATAAGTCGTTTGAAATGGAAGTAGGATGCTATAACTGGTTGACTATGAAAGTATGATGCTTAAAAAATGAAGTAGAAGCAAACTGAGATATATTCTCTTTTTAAAACACATATGTTGGGTACAAAATTAATTTAACCAAATTTAGTCTAAGGCAACACCAGTCCAACTGCTTCCTCTGGTTGATACTGCTCCAATTCCTCTTGCTTCACCTTTATCAGGTCTCCCTTGTAGCTTCAAAACCAATGGAATCTATAAATGAAGGAGAATGAGAAAAATATAAGAAAATGACCAATATAGCCTTCAAAAAACTGGACTGCATAAAAATGCATTTCGTCGACCTCATTCTTTGTTATTACCTTCTATGCAGTCGGCCAGACCTGTTGATTGCTAGACGTGTTATGATGACTAAACTGGCTGTAACGGTTGAGAGCCAGAAGCATAATTGTTCATGGCCCAAGAGTGTGAGGACTGCAAAGTACTTGGCGGTTTTATATAAATCTTGATAAGCTCTTGCAGCTTTGAGATCCCTTAAGTGCTGATTTTGTAACAGAAATTAAAAAAAAAAGTATGGTTCAATCTATAACTAAGAGAAGAGTCGATTAAGAACTGAAAATAGTTAAATAAAAAAAACAACCTTCAGTAAATCTGTAAATAAGATCTTAAAATAAGGGAGATCAGAGCACATTTCAATTTACGAAAAAAAAGTATCATGTGATTTAGAAAGGCCTACAATAAATCTGTAATAAGTTGCTTTATAAGAAAATAAATCTACGAAATGCAAGTATTTCTTGAATTCCGATGCAATTCGGTTCAATACCCTTCTGTAATAAAAATTAGGATTTGATCGGAATTGACTTCCAATTGGTAATGCCTCTTACTTACCAATAAGCACGAAAAAAAAAAAAAAGACAAAGTGCTCAAAAGTAAAATCTCTTGGTGATTACACTGCTCTCCTTTTTCCCTACATACTAAAAATAACTAAACTGTTAAATCTAATAAATAGCATTGTATATTTGTTAATATTTTTTCTATTACGTTCTACTTCCATTTCTTGCTAATGCAAGATTGTATTTCGAAAAATCCATCCAATTAAAATAATGTCATAAAAAACAAAGCAATTTTCGTTGTTATAATTGAATT